AAAATAAAATTTAAAAGTTTGCCCTGTATGGAAAAAAATTTATTCAAGGTCAAAGGTCAAAAATCTTGAAAAAAATTGGTTTTCCGCGATTTTCAGGAAAACGGTAAGTTTTATCATAAAACAACTCCAGATAAAAATTGTAGATCATAAAATTCTCTACAAAAATGTATGGATACTTTTAATCTTAGAGCCACCGTTTCTGAGATACGACCAGTCAAAAAGTTGTAAAAGTTGTAATCGTCATTATATGCATAAATGTTGGCGAAAATATATTGATTAAACAGGGTAATAACGATGCCGACGTACTGATTATTGCAACAGCTATAGAGCAATTCAATTTGACAAATACAACTATTGATGTTGGCACCACAGATAGACAGACAATCTACAAGTTTATGAATTTCTTTTGGCAAAGACTCCTTGTTACCTTTATATATCGTGATAATATTATGAATTTTCCTAGGCGTAGGAACTCGTTTCGTCTTGTTATAGAAATGTATTATGCATCTACGTGAAATTTCTGAATCAGCATCATCCATGACAATTTTGAAAGTTTTGACACATTTCTTTCAATTTGGAGTGAAAAATATTTTCAACATTTTCTATTTTTTTCATGTCTGATTTGATTTCTCTTACAGTTCGCAAGCAAACCCCTGTGGCCTCAGCCATTCATTCTCGAACTTTCAAAGTGAAAATACAATATTGGTTACAATTTCACTTTATCATTACTAATACCCCTTACCTTCACAAAAGTAATTCTTATTCCATAAGGAAATAACTATTTTGAAACTACCTCCACAGTAGGGTGTGGTAAACGTCTGTTGTAAAACAGCTACTTCTCGGGCTAATACCACGCTGGATATTGAATTATCACACAGAAATTTATGCAAGATTCCTTACAGAGGTTAGTGTCGCAGGCGTTTCTCGTTCATCCGGCAGTTAACAGTTCTTATTCCATCTGCCGTTGCTTCCGCCTACATAAACCTTAATACGTCGTTCACAATTTCTCTGAGTTGTTCACTGAGAACCTTGTTTGGTTTACTGTTTAGTTTAGCCAGAATAATTTCCCTCTTAGTGTACCAATACCATGTTCGCTACACGAGTTCCTCGATGACAATAAGCTCTTGCTCCACTCCACCGACTGATCTAGTGTGCATCATATATTCCGAAGCACAGCTAGATGTGCCAAGCTATAAAACGCAATAACTTTCTCAGAGTTTTTTTATTAGTATGTTCTGTATTTCACTTTATCGTTATAATAATGATAATAACCTTTATTGAAATAGAAAACCTAATATACATATCTATGAGTGTAATAATAACACTAGAACAATGAAATATAAAAAAATGTATGCAAAAAATTTTAAATTTAAACAACTTGAGATATAAACTAGCATGTGGCCAAACAATGAACATTACATATGAAGATTTCAGTATCATATGTT